AAGAAAAACTAAAAGCATTTTAAATAGTTTTTAAATATAGAAAATGAATAAAAAAGTTTTGCGAAATAAAAATTAAAAAAGATTTAAATTAATTCATTCTATCAGTGATTGATTGATAGGGAAATGAGTTTTTGTTTTTAACATTGCGTTTAACTATTCAATGGATTTTTTGTTTGAAATTAATTTTTTCATTGCATTCAAATTAAATGATGACAATGTATACATTATTACAGTATTATTCAACACTTATTGTATTAATATTTGCGTTGAAATTAGTGGCTATTGTTTTATCTTATCACTTATTTTACACTAAATTTTATAACTTTGAGGTCAAATGATTCAAACAGTTTTCGTTTTATTAATAATTAAATTAATTGCTTTACACATTATGTGAGTAATTGTACGGAAATTTAATTTATTATATTTCTGATTAGATTTGTTTAATAATCATAAAAATAACAGTTTAGTGCAACATCTAAATGTTTAGTCTAAATGTTTGCCTTATATTAATAAAACGTTTTTAATTGCCATTTAGTGACTAATCACTAATTTTGCACTAATTGTTTGCAATTTTGTTGATTATAAGTATATTCAGTACACATTAATTATTGAATGAACGTTTCAAGGATTTTAAACTTAAATTTAATAAATAATTATTAATTAATATTTTAATTGAATTTGAAGGCAAAATGCATTATTCATTGATTTTCATATCAAAAATAATTTTGATTCTGTTTCGCAAATGCTTTGAATGACTAATTCTGAAGTGATTTGAAATTATTTTACATAATTTTGCTATAAATGTAATAAGTTTTAAAAAGTTATTTAACTGTCACAATAATTATGGGCATAAACAGACATAAACGTCCATATTGGTATTTACACTATATAAAAGTATGCCGCAATAAACGACACTTGAGTTAACCGCCTATGGCCGGCTGGGCCTGATGGACACCCGGGACGACAACTTTCTAATCAATTTCGACAAACTGCCGGATGAGCGCACCGACACATCGCTGGCCAGAATGGCACGACTCGCCTGTCAGGTATGGCTGCAAACCATGCAATCACTTGAGATTTGTTTAATAAAATGTGTTTTTGAATGATTTGACAGAAAAACGCGTCAATACGGCCAGAGTTTAGCGAATTATTAGAGATCTTTGAGACGGAACTCATGTCCGACACGACGACACCACAACCAAAACGCCACAAAACCTCTTAAGCAGCGATCGGACGCGTTATATACTGCGCCGGGATCTGAGTCTACCCTCCAGTCAGTCGAGCCTCGACTCGATGCCACTCAACGGCGCCGGAGATATTTGTAATGAAACTTTTGAATGAGTTTTTTATGTTGAGAACAAACCTTTTGGGCATATTTTCCACTGTTTTTAGTATTTATGTTGTTTTTAGAGTTTAGTTTTGGAGTGAAAAAAGGGAGCAAAAAGAGTTCATGAATTTTGTTTGAAAATTGTTATATAATTTTGCCGTTTTAATTCATCAAAACGAAAAAACAATAAAAGAGACAAAATCCTTTTTACCTAAAAGACAAAACGTAAAGCAATAACTAAAGTTAAAAATCAAATCTAAAAACAACAACAAAAACTGACATAAAAATTCCCAGAAACTAGTTCTCCACTTAAAAATTGTAGTGTTTTCACGAGTTTTTTAATTCACTTTTAATGTAATCATAAATCTAATTGATTTTTTGAATTTATGATAATTTATGGCTATATATGAATTGCGAGCGAAAAGTGAATTATTTTTTTGGGAGCTTTTGAGTGAAAATTTGTCCGAAAATTATGAATTCATTTGTTGTGTTGTTTTGTGAACTAATCTTATATTTTTTAAAATCTTTTTTCATCTCATTATCTAACAGTCGATCAGCACTTAATCCGACGCCGAAACTCACAGATAGAGCGCAAGTACTTCAATGGTAGCCATAGATAGCAACGGATCCACTGATTGCCACAAAGACAGCGAAGATATTTCTTATAAGAAAAACTGAACTCTTTTTTTGTTTTGTTTTCTCTCTCCGAGTCATGTATTGAATAATGATTTGTGTTTTTCCATGTTTTCACTGATTATTTGTTACGCAAAACAAAACAAAAACTCAATTTAAAATTGAACTCAAAGTGCAATTCGTTTAAACAATAGAAATATACTTTTGGTTAACATTTGTTGTTAACTAAACAGCTATGGTTTCGCGTTCTCTACATACCGGCGCCCGACTTTTCACTACAAACTACCGGCGCTTTCCTATACCTTCACTATTGTTTAGAGAAGCAAATAAATTTGTAAAATCACTTTAATTCTAGTCCTATTTGTAATTATTATTATTTCATTAATAACTAATTATTATTTGATTGAATTAATTGTTTTTAATTATTTAAGTATAAATACTATTAAATATTAATCACGATTTTGTTGAAATTATTTAATTAAAAATCACAAACGATTTGTTGGTCTCTCCAACGAAAATAATACTTTGTTTTTGTTATTAAGTTGTCATTAATTTCCTGTTTTTATTATTATTTAATTATTTTTCATTCAATTTCTCCCACTATTTGTATAATTGATTTGAAATGAAAAACTCTTAACTCATATGTGAATAAAGTTACGAAAAACTATTAATTAATAATTTATGACAAACAATAATTTGAAATCAAATATAATTTTACTTTTATAGAGAGAGAGAGAGAGAGAGAGAGAGAGAGTAAATTAAGGTACAGTATAAATAATATTTAATATTAAAAATCACTTCATTTGCTTTTCATGTCTCCTTTTCTTATGTTCTTTCAAAACACCTATAAGTTTCGTCTTATACTGACAGCCCTCCCAATCACAGGCATACAGTTCTCCCGTATGTATAACCATATGTCCCCTTAAGGAGCTTTTGGTCTTATCACAGGTAGTCCGGGTCGGCCGGTATCCGCCAATTGAGTTCACAGCAAATAACGCCGTATGAAAATATATCACATTTATGGTTATACCTGCAAATACAGACAAATACGGGTATTAATAACACTGTCAGAAATAATTTTTTAAATTTATTACATTTATAGCAAAATTATGTAAAATAATTTCAAATCACTTCAGAATTAGTCATTCAAAGCATTTGCGAAACAAAATCAAAATTATTTTTGATATGAAAATCAATGAATAATGCATTTTGCCTTCAAATTCAATTAAAATATTAATTAATAATTATTTTTTAAATTTAAGTTTAAAATCCTTGAAACGTTAATTCAATAATTAATGTGTACTGAATATACTTATAATCAACAAAATTGCAAACAATTAGTGCAAAATTAGTGATTAGTCACTAAATGGCAATTAAAAACATTTTATTAATATAAAGCAAACATTTAGACTAAACATTTAGATGTTGCACTAAACTGTTATTTTTATGATTATTAAACAAATCTAATCTGAAATATAATAAATTAAATTTCCGTACAATTAGTCACATAATGTGTAAAGCAATTAATTTAATTATTAATAAAACGAGAACTGTTTGAATCATTTGAACTCAAAGTTATAAAATTTAGTGTAAAACAAGTGATAAGATAACACAATAGCCACTAATTTCAACGCAAATATTAATACAATAAGTGTTGAATAATACTGTAATAATGTATACATTGTCATCATTTAATTTGAATGCAATGAAAAAATTAATTTAAAACAAAAAATCCATTGAATAGTTAAACGCAATGTTAAAAACAAAAACGTCATTTCCCTATCAATCAATCACTGATAGAATGAATTAATTTAAATCTTTTTTAATTTTTATTTCGCAAAACTTTTTTATTCATTTTCTATATTTAAAAACTATTTAAAATGCTTTTAGTTTTTCTTATTCAATAACCAAATCATGAGAAAACGAGTGCTTTTTCTATATAAAAAATAATATTTCCTATAAATTAATGTATAGATAAATTTCATAAGAGATAAAATAATTATTTATAGAAAACAAAGAAAACCATTTTGTAATCGATATGCGAGAGAGAGAGAGAGCGAGAGAGAGAGAGAGGAATTTGTCTTATATTCAGGGATTAAATTCCTCACAAAACACTGTATTATAAGTTATAAATACACAGAATAATAGGAAACTGTTTAAAGGGTTTATAAAAAAATTGCGAAAAAAATCTTTATAGTCATTGAAAGGAGAAAATCATTAAAATTCATTAATTAGTATTTAGTCTTAGATTTCAAAAACATATAATTAATGAGACATTTAAAGCAACAAAAACTCCTTTCAATAGAAATTCTTGGGCTAAAAAACTACACAAAAATCTATTATAAATTATAACCATATGTTGGGAAGTGTTTATAAAAAACTTTTGATAAATATTGCGGAAATTTCATCTCTGTTTTCGACACTAAAATTAACCAAAATATATCACAAAACAAAAGTCAACCGAATAAAAAATCTCATATTATTTTTAATATCAAAAACCTTTTAAAGCGTTAAATAATTTGAATATAAATTTTCCAAAATGAATTTTATAATCAAATTTTTCATTTTGAAAACTCATTTCATTAAATGATAACAAAAATGAAAGCATTAATAAATTTGGCGTAAATTGAGTTCAAAAACACTTTTCACATACGAAATGGTAATAAGAAATCAATTTTATTTAACAAGTCATACATCAAAACCAAAAAACAAAAACTTCTTATAAATGCAAAACTGCTATCAAATGTAAAAGCATTTCACAAAAATAGGCTATATTTGGAAATATTAGTGTGAAAACTAAAATAACTTTCATTTAAACAAGATTTTTCGCAAAAATTTAGCGGAAAATTACTAATAAATCTTCAAAAAATAAATACAATTAATTCATTCATTCCTAAACACCCTTTTATGGGAATATAATTAATGCTAATAAATGTTCAAATTGTGAAAATAAAAAAATAAACCAACAAAAAATTCAAAACCCAAAACTCATTCATAAAACTATTATTCAAATGGTCTGAAAGATTATAAATTATAATATTTGAGACAATAATAACTCTTAAGACTATAATATGCAAGACTTTAGCTGCGAAACCAAAAACCTCTGAAACAAAACAATTGTCAAAACTTTTTTAGTCTTTAAAAATTCAAAAAAAAAGAAATAATAATAAATAAAATAATAATATTTATAATACAGATAATGAATACTATTCTTCACTACAACTCTTCAATCTGTAAGACAATAGCGAAAGGATTAGCAGTTGTGATGGGAAATGGAGTTCAAAAATAGTGAATCGGATGTGTTATGTAAAAATAGATGCAATGTTTGGATGCGAGCCATAGACTGACACCAAACGCGACAATACATAAGCAATGCATTGAGAAAACTATGAGTTTTAAAGACATATCATTTGCAATCATAGAAAATGTGGAAAATTTCCAAAAAACTTATTTTCAAAGTGTTTGTCGCGGGCGTAGGCTTTTAGAAAGTGGTGTTCCGTACAGCCCGTACAGATACCAGTGCTCAGTAGTGGGGGCATTGAGGGGAGGGTACAGGTGCTAAAATGCGCTCATTTTTTATTATTTATTTATGCATATTATGTAAATACTTTGCAGATCTATTATCTGATTATTTATGTGAAAAATTAGATTAACTTATATTAGGAAAATGAATTTGCATTACAAAAAATAAGTCTCACTATTTATCTTATAGTGCTCTCAACCCCTGACCCCTTTTCTCTCTCTCTCTCTCTCTCTCGCGTATCATTTAAATACACTTTTATTTATATAATTAATATTTAAAACATTGTGTTTAAGAATAGATAATGTTTTCTGTGGAAACACACAACACAGATAAAAATGTACACCAAAATAGTACTGTAACTCAAATACACATTACTTGTTGCTAATGATAAATAATATTAATGAGCAACGTGAAGCCAAAAATAATAAAAGTTGATAAATCTTTAGCGAATAAATTTCAATATTTAGAAACAATACATTAAATTAAAAGCAAATACAAAAGAAAACTTTATAATAAAGTTAGGGAATCGTCGCTACAAAAACTTATTCATTAAAACAGTAAAATATTTGTGAATATAATTCGCATTGAGTTTATGGCAAAACAACAAAATTAAAAGTTTGAAAAAATGNAGGGAATCGTCGCTACAAAAACTTATTCATTAAAACAGTAAAATATTTGTGAATATAATTCGCATTGAGTTTATGGCAAAACAACAAAATTAAAAGTTTGAAAAAATGAAATTCACTACGAATTCAGACAACAATTATTTATAACATATAAGACGTGAAAACAATTATAAACTAAAAAAACTAAAACTCAAAACCATTTCTAGTTTTGTGAACATCTCTCTAAACTTTTAATTAAATATACATAAAAACATCAAAAACCAATGTTTTTCTCTGTGAATACATTTTCAACTCTCAAAGTCATTGAAATCTAATATAAAATTTGTTTTATAATTAAAATTCAAGTAAACATATTTTGATGTAAAAACTCACTTAATATATAAACTTAAGACTATAGACTTAGGGCAATGAATATATAAATTAAACTCAAAATACATTTAAAATTTCGTAAATATTTTCTATATTAAGTCACTCGAGAACTATAATAACATGTATTTTTGGACTAAAGTATAACATAATAAACGCAATCAAATAACAATAAAACAAATTATAAAAACAACAGACAAACCAAAATTATTCATGAATTCAGTTAACAAACACACCATAAATGGTATAAAAACCTCACATTAATACATGAAAGCAAATAAAACACACAAAACAAACAAAACACAGAATAAATCAAAACACATAAAAAACAAATCAAAAACTTTCAAAA